ACACCACTTCCCTCATGCATTATCTCCCTCCAGTAATGGCCCTAACAGGAACAACTATATTCAGTCATATATGCTGCTTATTTTGTTTAGGGGAAAGTGCTTGTTTCCTTCCCAGTCCTCATTCAATCAAAGCAGCAATTCGATTTAGTGTACGGTGACTGTATAGTATAGCGTGAACATGACGTCCATAAGAGGGGGAGCCGACATGGGATTTCAATAACTGGTATATAATAATAATAATAATATGCCATTTAGCAGACGCTTTTATCCAAAGCGACTTAGTCATGCGTGCATAAATTTTTGTGTATGGGTGGTCCCGGGGATCGAACCCACTACCTTGGCATTACAAGCGCCGTGCTCTACCAGCTGAGCTACAGAGGACCACATGTGGTATGTGTGGTATGGTATGTGTGTTGCTGTGTGTGGTGCAGAGTAAAGTGGTTCCAGTCGTGATTGACAGCACAGGGTTGTTTCCTCTCGTGATGACGTCATAGATGAGGCCTTATTTCCCTTCCCTGAAACGTACCATATTTTTTATTTAACCTTTATTTAACCAGGTAAGCCAGTTGAGAACAAGTTCTTATTTACAACTGCGACCTGGCCAAGATAAAGCAAAGCAGTGCGATTTAAAAACAACACAGTTACATATGGGATAAACAAAACGTAAAGTCAATAACACAATAGAAAATCTATATACAGTGTGCGCAAATGTAGTAAGTTATGGAGGTAAGGCAATAAATAGGCCATAGTGCAAAATAATTACAATGTAGTATTAACACTGGAATGATAGATGTGCAGAAGATGATGTGCAAATAGAGATACTGGGATGCAAATGAGCAAAATAAATAACAATATGGGGATGAGGTAGTTGGGTGAGCTAATTACAGATGGGCTGTGTACAGATGCAGTGATCGGTAAACTGCTCTGACAACTGATGCTTAAAGTTAGTGAGGGAGATAAGAGTCTCCAGCTTCAGAGATTTTTGCAGTTCGTTCCAGTCATTGGCAGCAGAGAACTGGAAGGAATGGCAGCCAAAGGAGGTGTTGGCTTTGGGGATGACCAGTGAGATATACCTGCTGGAGCGCATACTACGGGTGGGTGTTGCTATGGTGACTAATGAGCTAAGATAAGGCGGGGATTTGCCTAGCAGTGATTTATAGATGACCTGGAGCCAGTGGGTTTGGCGACGAATATGTAGTGACGGCCAGCCAACGAGAGCGTACAGGTCACAATGGTGGGTAGTATATGGGGCTTTGGTGACAAAACGGATGGCACTGTGATACACTACATCCAATTTGCTGAGTAGAGTGTTGGAGGCTATTTTGTAAATGACATCACCGAAGTCAAGGATCGGTAGAATAGTCCGTTTTACGAGGGCATGTTTGGCAGCATGAGTGAAGGAGGCTTTTTTGCGAAATAGGAAGCCGATTCTAGATTTAACTTTGGATTGGAGATGCTTAAGGTGAGCCTGGAAGGAGAGTTTACGGTCTAACCAGACACCTAGGTATTTGTAGTTGTCCACATATTCTATGTCAGACCCGCCGAGAGTAGTGATTCTAGTCGGGCAGACGGGTGCAAGCAGCGTTCGATTGAAGAGCATGCATTTAGTTTTACTAGCGTTTAAGAGCAGTTGGAGGCTACAGAAGGAGTGATGTATGGCATTGAAGCTCATTTGGAGGTTTGTTAACACAGTGTCCAATGAAGGGCCAGATGTATACAAAATGGTGTCGTCTGCGTAGAGGTGGATCTGAGAGTCACCAGCAGCAAAAGCGACATCATTGATATACACAGAGAATAGGGTCGGCCCGAGAATTGAACCCTGTGGCACCCCCATAGAGACTGCCAGAGGTCCAGACAACAGGCCCTCCGATTTGACACATTGAACTCTGAGAAGTAGTTTAGTGAACCAGGCGAGGCAGTCATTTGAGAAACCAGGGCTATTTAGTCTGCCAATAAGAATGTGGTGATTGACGGAGTCGAATGCCTTGGCCAGGTCGATAAAGACGGCTGCACAGTACTGTCTTTTATCGATCGCGGTTATAATATCGTTTAGGACCTTGAGCGTGGCTGAGGTGCACCCATGACCAGCTCGGAAACCAGATTGCATAGCGGAGAAGGTACGATGGGATTCGAAATGGTCGGTTATCTGTTTGCAAATTTGACTTTCAAATACTTTCGAAAGGCAGGGCAGGATGGATATAGGTCTGTAACAGTTTGGATCTAGAGTGTCACCCCCTTTGAAGAGGGGGATGACCGCGGCAGCTTTCCAATCTCTGGGGATCTCAGACGATACGAAAGAGAGGTTGAACAGGCTGGTAATAGGGGTTACGACAATTTCGGCGGCTAATTTTAGAAAGAAAGGGTCCAGATTGTCTAGCCCAGCTGATTTGTATGGGTCCAGATTTTGCAGCTCTTTCAGAACATCAGCTATCTGAATTTGGGTGAAAGAGAAGCGGGGGGGGGGGGGGGGGGGGGGGGCATGGGCAAGTTGCAGCGGAGGGTGCAGAGCTGGTGGCCGGGGTAGGGGTAGCCAGGTGGAAATCATGGCCAGCCATAGCAAAATGCTTGTTGAAATTTTCAGTTATCGTCGATTTATCGGTAGTGACAGTGTTTCCTAGCCTCAGTGCAGTGGGCAGCTGGGAGGAGGTGCTCTTATTCTCCATGGACTTTAGTGTCCCAAAACTTTTCGGAGTTAGCGCTACAGGATGCACATTTCTGTTTGAAATAGCTAGCCTTTGCTTTCCTAACTGATTGTGTATATTGGTTCCTGACTTCCCTGAAAAGTTGCATATCGCAGGGGCTGTTAGATGCTAATGCAGTACGCCACAGGATGTTGTTGTGCTGGTCAAGGGCAGTCAAGTCTGGGGTGAACCAGGGGCTATATCTGTTCTTAGTTCTGAATTTTTTGAAAGGGCCTGCTTATTTAAGATGGAGAGGAAAGCACTTTTAAAGAACAACCAGGCATCCTCTACTGACGGAATGAGGTCAATAACCATCCAGGATACCCGGGCCAGGTCAATTAGAAAGGCCTGCTCGCTGAAGTGTTTTAGGGAGCGTTTGACAGTGATGAGGGGTGGTGGTTTGACTGCGGACCCAGTACGGATGCAGGCAATGAGACAGTGATCACTGAGATCCTGGTTGAAGACAGCAGAGGTGTATTTAGAGTGTAAGTTAGTCAGGATGATATCTATGAGGGAGCCCATGTTAACGGATTTAGGGTTGTACCTGGTAGGTTCCTTGATAATTTGTGTGAGATTGAGGGCATCTAGTTTAGATTGTAGGATGGCCGGGGTGTTAAGTTTAGGTCACCAAGCAATATGAACTCTGAGGATAGATGGAGGGGCAATCAATTCACATGTGGTGTCCAGGGCACAGCTGGGGGCTGAAGGGGGTCTGTAGCAAGCGGCAACAGTGAGAGACTTATTTCTGGAAAGGTGGATATTTAGAAGTAGAAGCTCAAACTGTTTGGGCACAGACCTGGATAGTATGATAGAGCTCTGCAGGCGATCTCTACAGTAGATTGCAACTCCACCCCCTTTGGCAGTTCTATCTAGACGGAACATTTTGTAGTTGGGGATGGAAATTTCAGAATTTTTTGGTGGCCTTCCTAAACCAGGATTCAGACACTGCTAGAACATCAGGGTTGGCAGAGTGTGCTAACGCAGTGAATAACTCAAACTTAGGGAGGAAGCTTCTGATGTTAACATGCAAGAAACCAAGGCTTTTGTGGTTACAGAAGTCAACAAATGATAGCGCCTGGGGAGTAGGAGTGATACTGGGGGCTACAGGGCCTGGGTTAACCTCTACATCACCAGAGGAACAGAAGAGGAATAGAATAAGGATACGGCTAAAGGCTTTATGAACTGGTCTTCTAGTGCGTTGGGTACAGAGAATATAAGGGGCCGATTTCCGGGCGTTGTAGAATAGATTCAGGGCATTATGTACAGACAAGGATGTGGAAGGATATGAGTACAGTGGAGGTAAACCTAAGCGTTGGGTAACGATGAAAGACATAGTAAATATTAACACAGTGATGCTATTTACCATAGTGTTAATATTTACTATTGTCTGTAGTTGCTGCATTCAACAGAGTACTTTCAGTATGTCACACATGCAATTGAATATTTGTATTGAAATTCTTTATTGTCATTATGCAACATTTACAGAGCTAGTTAGTGAGACTGTATCCCTTAGGGGTATGACATAGACCTGCAACAGTATAGCTACTGTGCAATCACGCTCATCCTGTATCTACACATAAAATCACTTGTAAAGCCATACCAGCAGTATTTCTCTGGATGCCAATTATGAAGCCTGTAAACCTCATTCATTCATTCATCATGTTAGATCTGAGGTACATGAACAGCATGGTCAAGGTCACCAGTCTTGTTATTTTCACATGAAATTAGGTTTGCCCTCAAATGTACATAGCCAGAACTGACTAGTACTGTTACAATTCACATAAGTCCCCTACTGTGGATTCTTCAGCCAGTTCCCAGAACAACCCAGTGTGCAGCAGACAGACAGTAGAACTAAGTGATTGATGGCCCTAACTCTGGGTCTGAACTCCACCAGGATCAGACCAGTCAGGTGATAAATGTTGAATGTCAGATCCAAATCCACAACACCATGAAGGAAAGGCAACAGGTGTTACAAGTGAGGGCACTACATTTCAACAAGTTTTTACATCAACAAGTTTAAACTCATGAACTTAAGGAAAGTGTTAAAGTAGATAAAGAACATGTTTGCATCACAGAAGCCTCCTTGCCAACAGACTAGTAAAACCCACACCCTCTTTGATAACTGCTTGTTTATGCATCCACCACAAAGATAATATGGTCAGTGTGATTCTGCCTCATACAAATGAATGTATGGAAGAGACAACATGCTATGAGCTCTCCATATCCACCAGGAAGATGAATAGGAGTTCCTGTTCTTGTATGTTAGTCATAGTGTGACATAGACCGTCTCTGTGAGTGGTGATATGATAGGGACCCATCTCACAGTTTGCTGGCGATGTGTGGTAGAGTGAGAGGGTTGGAGATTCCGGGGAACCCCCCATCGAAGGCTGCGTTCAGGACCTCGTCCAGGTTTCTGGCTGTTACGAAGTCCAGCTCCACCCGGACGTTAGCAGGGATCTCCTCCAGGTCCTTCTCATTGCGCTTTGGGATGATGACACGCTTCACCCCGGCCCTGTGAGCTGCCAGGACCTTGTCCTTGATCCCTCCCACCTGCAGACAGAATTAGGGCTGGCACAATTACCATATAACTGGCGGTTATGGATGAAGACAGTCATGAAAATAAAATAACCACAAGGGTTTTGGGAATGAACTGCTGACTGAAGACAGGACGGCCGGGCATTCGTGCGGTTGAGTCAGTTTCTGCGATAACATGGACTCTTAACGTGATGAAACTTTGTTGCCCATTGGTGAAACAAGTAAGGTGTTGTAGCAAACAATTAATAGAATGGGCTTGGAACCTCTAACCCTGGCAAACTGACTGGTAAACTCATTGGTACACTCGCAATGTCTACCTGGTATTCAATTGACTCATGACTGAAGCCTGGAGTGGAGGTTTTTATTCTAGCAGTGAAGAAATTTCAACGTCATGTCTAGACGATAATAGGCTACACTGATAACTCGTGCTTGGCTGCCAAATGTATAGTTCTACCCATAATATTTACATTCAAGTGTGATCATAATCATTATTTTAGCGATCCATGGTAGACTTCCCTCCTAATAAAAATGCACCCCATTCTGCTGATTTGAGCTGCTGGACAGTATTTGCACTTGAGATGCGTTTATGCATGAGAAAGTGAACTTGCCATTTCCAAAAAGTTTAGCTCAGTGGGGAATCGGGGATGCCCTGCTTTGCGATCTATTGACTAACTAGGACATCAACAGCCAGTGTTTCATTAAATAAGCTATAGGCACAATACTTTTTAATAGCACATTTAGGTCTAATTAAACTGACGCATGTTCAACTTCAATTCACTGGCACAATGTAGAATAGCTTAACCCTAGGCCTACTCATTGAATTTACGAGGCATTGCAAAACAAGACATTGCGAGATACAGATTATCAAGAAAGCCTATGCGCACGGTTCCGACTGTCTGTCTGCCTGCCCCTTCTCTCGCTGACTCGCCTGCTCTTTCTCTTCACTATGAAAGATGCCAGTGTGTGTTCAGGTCTTTGGTCTGTTGCGTGTTTGTAGCTTAGCCTACTCATTGATAGCCCCTCCTTTAGTGAATATGCAAGAAATTGCGAGATCAACCTAAACAGTATTGCGAGATACAGCTTTTGATTTCCGATGCATGGCTCTGACTGTCTGCCTGGTGACCGACATGCCTACCTATGCCCTTCCCCTCTCTCTCTCCTTCGCTAGCTCGCTCTTTCTTTGCTGTGAAAGATGCAAGAGTTTGTGTTCTCGGAAGTAGCCTACGGCAACTAGCCTAGTCAGTCTCCTCCGTTGCAAAAATACTGAATCTTAGGGGTCGATTCCTAGCGGAATTGATGCATGACACCCAGAAATGGGAGTCGACGGGCAAGGAATCGATTATTTTGAAGTTGACTCCCCACCACTAGTTAACTGCTCATGCAATGGAAGGTATTTTGTAATGTCAGTTGAGTTGAATCAACAAATCACAGCACATATTGATGGGTACACTTCCTGATTTTACTTCCTGTTCATATGGGTACACTCACAATGGCCGCCAGTCCACCCATTATGCCATCATTGACTTGAATGGGGACGCCCATTCTTTTCATTCTATTTCTACTGCAGCACATGCAGTCAGGAGCAGAGGAAAGGAGACATTTTGCGTTTAGATTTGTGTATTTTTTTGTTCCTATTCGCAAGGTTATTACGGAGACCGCGGTAATTTGGCTGGCCAATTACAGTCATCCACAATTCCATGACCATCACAGCACTATGTAGAAGTGTAGTTGTGTCTCACCGGCAGCACCAGGCCTCTCAGAGTGATCTCTCCAGTCATGGCCACATCGGACCGTACCAGGCGCCCACTGAACAGCGAGGCCAGGACCGTTACCATGGTGACGCCAGCCGATGGGCCGTCCTTTGTGACTGCTCCCGCTGGGAAGTGCAGATGGATGTCTGTCCCCTCCAGAGGATCTGAACCACCGACCACTACATCAGACAGACAGACACACAGTCCTTCAGCCGTCATTGTGTATTGCCTTGATATGGACGTAAATGAGTAGCAAAGCTAAGACAAAATGCATTTTGTTGTGTGTCTTCTCTCACTGTTGGTCAGCTGGTAGGTCTTGGCATTGCTGCGCAGCCAGCTCATGGCCAGGTGGGCAGACTCCTTCATAACGTCACCCAGTTGTCCAGTCAGGGTCAGCTGGCCCTCACCCTCCATGCGGCTGGCCTCCACAAACATGATCTCCCCTCCCAGGGGGGTCCAGGCCAGGCCGACGGCCACGCCCGGCAGGGTCAGTCGCTCCGACACCTGGACACGACCAGGGAGAGGAACACACAGTCATCTACACTAAGTGTGCAAAACATGAACACCTGCTCTTTCCATGACCTAGACTAACCAGGTGAATCCAGGTAAAAACTATGATCCCTAATTGATGTCACCTCAATCAGTGTAGATGAAGGAGAGGAGACAGGTTAAAGAAGGATTTTTAAGCCTCGAGACAATTGAGACGGATTGTGTATGTGCCATCCAGAGGGTGAATGGGCAAAACAAAATATTTAAGTGCCTTTGAACGGAGTATACCAGGCGCACCGGTTTGAGTGTCAAGAACTGCACTGCTGCTGGATTTTTCACGCTCAACAGTTTCCCATGTGTATCAAGAATGGTCCACCACCCAACTTGACACAACTGTGGGAAGCATTGGAGTCAACATGGGCCAGCATCCCTGTGGAATGCTTTCGACACCTTGTAGAGTCCATGTGACATGTGACTGGGGACTACCATAAACTTCATAATAATGTGACAGGAAAATTAAGAACGCAATGTTCTTTATCTCCTAACGTATTGCACAAGTTGACTGCAAGTATTTACTTAAAAAGTAGCTACAAATATTAAAGTTAATACAAAAACGGGCAAAAGGGGATGCAACTCAATATTAGGAAGGTGTCCCTAATGTTTTGTACACTCAGTGTATACACACACCTAGATACTGGATCTATAGTCATCTACACATAACTACTATATTTTTTGTCATCTAAACACTGGATTAGAAAATAATACTGAGGTCTGAGTAAGAGTATGGGGTTTACTATGTTTTAAAACTAGTTGTAGTCCTCAGTATCCTATGCTCAGTGAGAACTAGAAGAATGCTGTGGTTTGCCTCCCCTCCAAATAACCCTCCTTCTCCTCTCCCTGCTGTACACATAAGACACATTCCAGTCCCCCTGTGAGAGCTCAAGAGCCCCTCACCCCGACCCCCAAATCCCATGGGTATGAATGGAATGCTAAGCTACATTACTAACATAAGTGTGTACTTTCTCCAGCACAACTACACTGCTTTAAGCCTGCAGCAACAACCTGAGCACAACAATCAGAAGTTGGCACATTTAGGTGAATCTATAGTACACTAGAGTACTGTTTTAAAGTTGCACCCTTCAAGTCTGCAAACTAGTAGTGTTATAAGTGCATGTTTATAGTTGGCTTTCACTCTCTCAAGAGGACCCATGTTATGGGTACATGAAAACACTTTGGCTTTAATTCTGCATGACGAGGCTTTTCTATACATCCTGCTGTATTTGCTGCACTCTGCAATGTCATCAGCATAATAAATGTTTCTCTCTCCAGTACAGTGGTGTGTGTTGGGCCAGACAGTGCCAACCCCTACCCTCTCTCACCTCCATCTCAAAGATGTGCGGCCCCAGTATGTCCTTCAGGGCGATGTGGTCGATGACGATGGGCATCTCTGGGGGCGCTGCCATGTCTGTAGACCCCCCGTCAGGCTCCTCTCCCCTCCTCCCTTGCTTCTCCTCTGAGACACACACACACAGACACACACACACAGACACACACAATTGAGGTGAGAGAGAATGAGAACATAGAAAGCAGGAGAGCTAATTAGAGAGATTAACATAAATATTAGCAACACCACTTCAAAAGTTCATTCGAAAGGTTGGAGGAGGATTTAAAACAACAAGGTGTGTGTTTGTACACATACTGCATGTCTGAGTGTTTGTTGTTGTGTACGGTACACAACACAGTGCGGTCACGAGCCAGCCTCTCCAAACCTCTTATTATGCACATGCTGATCACTGCCCACTTATCATGTGACCTGACTACCAATGCCATGTGGATAAGGAGCATGGTGTTCCCCTCAACATAGCTAGTCCATTCAGTGACAACACTACACTGCAGCACAGCACTATTTTACAAACACTTAATGAAGAGTTGAAGAGGGGATAACTGAGGACACAGTCTTTATGGACTGACATAACTGTGTAGTGAGTGAATGTGTAATATAACAGAAATCAGCTCTGACAGTTCAGTCCCTCTTTGAGCTGTCTAGTGCCATGAAAGATAAAACAGAGCGAGGGATGAAACGGAGGATACAACCAGGGGAGAGAGGTGGGCAAAGGAACAACAGCTGTGCTCCTAACTGGTCATGTGACAGCTGTCATGAGCCGCCAGTCGTGGAGCAGCTGGTAGAGAAAAGACAGACACAGACCCCCCCAGAGCGCGCGCTCTCCTCCTCACAACTCTTTGTTCGGTCTGCCAATAATGTCACTGTTACCTGGCAACAGACAGCCATTTGCACAAAGAGCAGAGGAAGAGTCCCATTCTCTCCCTCTCTCTTTTTATCTGCTGGTGTTTTTCATCGTGCAGTGGGAGTGGTTACACAGAGGGGAGGGGGCTGGGGGGGCCAATTCCATTTCAATGGGGCAACAGAGCCATAAAACCCCTCTGTTCTTCACCCCCTCTCGGCTCTGGCCGTGTTAACTGGCAGTGTGATTTTTCCTTTTACACAAGAGCTGCTGCACAGGGGAGACAGGGGGCATGTGGTCGTGAGGCCGTCTGTTAGCAGGCTTAACCCCCCCTCCCCCTCATCTCCTCTTAACCCCACCCATACCCCTCAGAAGGCGGATGGTGTGTCTGTGTACTGTGTGTATGTGTGACTCTGTGTGAGCATGCGTGCCTGTATGTTTGAGAGGGCATTGTGCATTGGTCAGCAGACTTTAGGCCAGGGACTGCACAACCAACCAGCAGTGTGAAAGTGTGTAAGGTGACGGTGCTCACTGGAGGGAGGGGGGGAGCACCTGGTAGTGTACATAGTATGATATAGCCATGTCTGTTCCTAACAACTCAATTAGCTCCAGCCTCCAGGGGCTCAAATACATCCAGGAGCAGATATTGTGATTTCACAGCTTGTATGTGGGGAGTTCTAGTCTGTCTTTATGCAGAATACAGCAGCCCACTCTGAGGCACTGCTGAGTCCAGCTCACCACTGCAGTGTGTTTGAGGGCAGGGCCTGATACTGTAGCTGTGTGTCAGTCAGTCAGTCCCCCCTCCTGCCCCACAGAGAGTGTTCCCCTGTTGGTTTTTCTACCTCCGTGCTCAGCTCCCTGGGGGGCGCTCTCAGCGGGCGCGGCCTCTGATTTGGTGACCTTGTGACCCTCTGCGACCTTCACTGCCACTGCTCGACAGATCGCACCGATCTTCCTCTCCAGGGAGCGGACACCGGCCTCACGAGTGTACCTGCACACACACACACACACACACACACACACACAGAGTTCCGCTATCATCAACCATGATGGTTAAAATGACTGAGTGTGACATGAGTGACTGTTTGAGACAACAGTAGTTAATGGTGGAACATCACAATCTCCCCCCTGGCCATGTCTGATAGGCACTGGCCCCATCTGCAGCATGACCACCTCTCTCCTTTCTCTTTGTTCTTTAGCCAGCCAGCCCCAGTGGCCTTTGGTCGTCTTCTATGTCTGACTACCCTTAGTGAAGTTATGGTGGAGGTGCCCATGGCTCAGTAAAGATGCCTGGACTGAACTGGGAATGTATGACTCTATACTGACAGCCTCTGTTGTTTAAGTGAACTGTATGCCTCAAATCCATCTGGGTCTAATGGTGTGTCTGGAGAAGTAGTAGGTTTATTACTGTACTACCGATCCACAACCTCTCCCTCAACGTGGGCAAGACAAAGGAGCTTATTGTGGACTACAGGAAAAGGAGGGCCGAACACGCCCCCATTCACATCGACCGGGCTGTAGTGGAGCTGGTTGAGAGCTTCAAGTTCCTCGGTGTCCACAACACTAAGGATCTATCATGGTCCAAACACACCAACACAGTCATGAAGAGGGCATGACAACGCCTCTTCCCCCTCAGGAGGCAGAAAAGATTTGGCATGGGCCCTCAGATCCTCAAAAGGTTCTACAGCTGCACCATTGAGAGCATCTTGAGTGGCTGCATCACCGCTTGGTATGGCAACTGCTCGGCATCCGACCCCAAGGCGCTACACAGGGTAGTGCGTGAGGCCCAGTACATCACTGGGGTCGAACTCCCTGCCATCCAGGACCTCTACACCAGGCGGTGTCAGAGGAAGGCCCTAAAAATTGTCAAAGACTCCAGCCACCCAAGTAATAGACTGTTCTCTCCGCTACCGCACGACAAACGGTACCAGAGCGCTAAGTCTAGGACCAAAAGGCTCATGAACAGCTTCTAGCCGCAAACCATGAGACTGCTAAATACACCGAACAAGAATAGAAACGCAACATGTAAAGTGTTGGTCCCATGTTTCATGAGCTGAAATAAAAGATCCCAGAAATTATCCATACGCACAAAAAGCTTATTTCTCTCAAATGTTGTGCACAAATTTGTTTACATCCCTGTTAGTGAGAATTTCTCCTTTGCCAAGATAATCCATCCACCTGACAGATGTGGCATATCAAGAAGCGGATTAAACAGCATGATCATTACACAGGTGCACCTTGTGCTGGGGACAATAAAAGGCCCCTCTAAAATGTGCAGTTTTGTCACACAACACAATGCCACAGATGTCTCAGGTTTTGAGGGAGCATGCAATTGACATGCTGACTGCAGGAATGTCCACCAGAGCTGTTGCCAGAGAATTGAATGTTCATTTCTCTACCACAAGCCACCTTCAATGTTGTTTTAGAGAATTTGGTATTATGTCCAACCGGCCTCACAACCGCAGACCACATGTAACCACGCCAACCCAGGACCTCCACACCTGGCTTCTTCACCTGCGGGATCGTCTGAGACCAGCCACCCGGGCAGCTGAGGAAACCAAAGAATTTCTGCACAAACTGTCAGAAACAGTCTCAGGGAAGCTCATCTGCTTGCTCGTCGTCCTCACCAGGGTCTTGACCTGACTGCAGTTAGGAGACTTCTGTGGGCAAATGCTCACCTTTGATGGCCACTGGCACACTGGAGAAGTGTGCTCTTCCCGGATGAATCCCGGTTTCAACTGTACCGGGCAGAAGGCAGACAGCGTGTATGGCGTCGTGTGGGCGAGCGGTTTTCTGATATCAACGTTGTGAACAGAGTGCCCAATGGTGGCGGTGCCGTTATATGTATGGGCAGGCATAAGCTACGAACAATGAACACAATTGCATTTTATCAATGGCTATTTGAATGCACAGAGATACCGTGACGAGATCCTCAGGCCCATTGTCGTGCCATTCATCCGCCACCACCTCATGTTTCAGCATGATAATGCACGGCCCCATATCACAAGGATCTGTACACAATTCCTGGAAGCTGAAAAGGTCCCAGTTCTTCCATGGCCTGCATGTCACCCATTGAGCATGTTTGGGATGCTCTGGATCGACGTGTACGACACCGTGTTTCAGTTCACGCCAATATCCAACAACTTCACACAGCCATTGAAGAGGAGTGGAACAACATTCCACAATCAACAGCCTGATCAACTCTATGCGAAGGAGATGTGTCGCGCTGCATGAGGCAAATGGTGGTCACACCAGATACTGACTGGTTTTCTGATCCACGCCCCTACCTTTTTTTAAAGGTATCTGTGATCAACAGATGCATATCTGTATTCCCAGTCATGTGAAATCCATAGATTAGAGCCTAATACATTTATTTCCATTGACCGATTTCCTTATTTGAACTGTAACTCAGTAAAACTGTTGAAATTAGTGCATGTTGCGCTTATATTTGTGTTCAGTGTAGTTAACCAAATAGCTGAGAGAATGCCAAGAGTGTGCAAAGCTGTCATCAAGACAAAGGGTGGCTATTTGAAGAATATAATATAATACAATCGTGGTCAAAAGTTTTGAGAATGACAAGTATTGGTCTTCACAAAGTTTGCTGCTTCAGTGTTATGAGATATTTTTGTCAGATGTTACTACAAATAAACCTACCATTAAAATTATAGACTGATCATGTCTTTGTCAGTGGGCAAACGTACAAAATCAGCAGGGGATCAAATACTTTTTCCCCCTCACTGTATACTGAAGTATAATTACAAGCATTCCATAAGTGTCAAAGGCTTTTATTGACAATTACATTAAGTTTATGCAAAGAGTCAGTATTTGCAGTGTTGACCCTTCTTTTTCAAGACCTCTGCAATCCACCCTGGCATGCTGTCAATTAACTTCTGGGCCACATCCTGACTGATGGCAGCCCCTTCTTGCATAATCAATGCTTGGAGTTTGTCAGAATTTGTGGGTTTTTGTTTGTCCACCCGCCTCTTGAGGATCGACCACAAGTTCTCAATGGGATTAAGGTCTGGGGAGTTCCCTGGCCATGGACCCAAAATGTCGATGTTTTGTTCCCCGAGCCACTTAGTTATCACTTTTGCCTTATGGCAAGGTGCTCCATCATGCTGGAAAAGGCATTGGTCGTCACCAAACTGTTCTTGGATGGTTGGGAGAAGTTGCTCTCGGAGGATGTGTTGGTACCATTCTTTATTCATGGCTGTGTTCTTAGGCAAAATTGTGAGTGAGCCCACTCCCTTGGCTGAGAAGCAACCCCACACATGAATGGTCTCAGGATGCTTTACTGTTGGCATGACACAGGACTGATGGTAGCGCTCACCTTGACTTCTCCGGACAAGGTGTTTTCCGGATGCCCCAAACAATCAGAAAGGGGATTCATCAGAGAAAATGACTTTACCCCAGTCCTCAGCAGTCCAATCCCTGTACCTTTTGCAGAATATCAGTCTGTCCCTGATGTTTTTACTGGAGAGAAGTGGCTTCTTTGCTGCCCTTCTTGACACCAGGCCATCCTCCAAAAGTCTTCGCCTCACTGTGCGTGCAGATGAACTCACACCTGCCTGCTACCATTCCTGAGCAAGCTCTGCACTGGTGGTGCCCCGATCCCGCAGCTGAATCAACTTTAGGAGACAGTCCTGGCGCTTGCTGGACTTTCTTGGGCACCCTGACGCCTTCTTCACAACAATTGAACCTCTCTCCTTGAAGTTGTTGATGATCCGATAAATGGTTGATTTAGGTGCAATCTTACTAGCAGCAATATCCTTGCCTGTGAAGCCCTTTTTGTGCAAAGCAATGATGACGGCACGTGTTTCCTTGCAGGTAACCATGGTTAACAGAGGAAGAACAATGATTTCAAGCACCATCCTCCTTTTAAAGCTTCCAGTCTGTTATTCTAACTCAATCAGCATGACAGAGTGATCTCCAGCCTTGTCCTCGTCAACACTCTCACCTGTGTTAACAAGAGAATCACTGACATGATGTCAGCTGGTCCTTTTGTGGCAGGGCTGAAATGCAGTGGAAATGTTTTTTGGGGATTAAGTTCATTTTCATGGCAAAGAGGGACTTTGCAATTCTTTGCAATTCATCTGATCACTCTTGATGACATTCTGGAGTATATGGAAATTGCCATCATCAAAACTGAGGCAGCAGACTTTGTGAAAATGTGTATTTGTGTCATTCTCAAAACTTTTGACCACGACTGTATATTGCATTGTTGGGAAGGGCCCGTAAGTAAGCATTTCACTGATAGTCTACACCTGTTGTTTACGAAGCATGTGACAATTAACATTTGATTTGATTATATTTTTGGTCTAATTATCTATCTGTCTGTGTGTGTGTGTCTGTATGTCTGTCTGTCAGTATGTACCAGTGGGTGCCCTCTGTGACCGGTCTTAACCTGTCTGGCTCTGGTAATCTCCCCCTTCTGTCCTGCTAGAAAGATAATCACTTCCCTCCTCCTCTCTCTGACCTACCGCTCCCCTAGGGCGTGTAAAGCAGCCGCGGTGTATGTGTGAGTGTGTGTGTTCGTACTTGCTAATGATGTCCTGTGTGGTGTCCTGAGGTATCTGGAGCTGTTGGGGGGTGAGTCCATGCTGTTCTAGCTGATGGGAAATCAGGTGACGATGAGCTATCTCCACCTTCTCCTCCTGAGTGTACCCTGAGAGGACATTATACACACATCCATAGAATAATGTAATACACACCTCTTCCTGACAGTTCATTACCATATTTATCCAGGCTAACACCACATCAATCTCAGAGGGGAACTACCTACTGTGTCTTGGGGCTACACCATGACGTGTGCTATTAATATGTTAATAACAAGTTACATTGATTCTACATAAATCAATGGCCAAGACAGGTACTCAATGCCCCTTCAGCTGACCCCTCTGCCCAACAAGATGACCCTTGACCCCTGGCCTCTGACCTTGCACCTGGAGGACCTCCATCCTGTCCAGCAGGGCCGGAGGGATGGTGGCCGTGGTGTTGGCAGTAGCGATGAACAGGACCTGGGAAAGGTCGAAGGCCACGTTGAGGTAGTGGTCTGTGAAGCTGTGGTTCTGCTCTGGGTCGAGGACCTTGTGGGAGTCAGTCAACTGGTTAGCAACCATTACTAATGACCTGCATGTCTACCAGCTGCAGTTGTAGAAACATTGACACTGTGTGTCTGTGTATATGTGTGTTGTTGAGTCAGACTTCACACTGCCAGAGGCAATATACAAATAATTCTGCTTTGCTTCCTCCCCCACCTCCCTTCTCCTCTTCCCTGCTCTGCCTCTCTCTATCCCTCTGAGCACCCAAGAAGATAGGGAGAGGCAGAGGAAATGCTCCTGCATTTTTAACAAAAAATATTGATTTAGAGTTAGATAAAGTAGGATTTTTTGGCAGGGACATATACAGGATGCTACCCTCCACAACATAACCTTCATTCCAAACCAAAACTCCAAACCTACAACCTGATTTTGGACGGAATTACCTGGAAGGCTTTCTACTACCAAGGATTACTATTCCCAAACTATACAGCAAATGCTCTGTCAAACAAACAGAAACCTGAAAACACCATCCAACCTGGAACTGAGTGAGTAATGTTTAGTATGAAGCTATTTTTTACTTAAAAAAACCAAGAAGAAAAATACATTACAATGATATATTTTACTTTATAAGGACTGAATGCTAAGGCTACCAAGCTTGCTAGTACAAAGAGATACAATTTCAATTAGCACTGACGTGTGAAGTGAGAGGTGTCAAAGCCCTTGAGCCCAACAATGGCAGGAGAGTCGCACAGTCTACCCCAACCAAATGGAGAGGCCTTAGAAGCACCCCCCCCCCCCCGCTGTTCAGAGGTCATTAAAATACAGTACCCTCTGAATGTAAAGAACGATAAGACACGAAAAGAGTACAAAATGAAACTCCTTATGAGGAATCAGGAGACACTTTTTGTTGGGGGGGGTGTTAGCGATGGGTGGAAACTCAGGATCCTGGACAACGAGGACTCTGAGTCGTCTAATATAAATCTGGAACAGTTTTGGTTCAAGGCAACACCAAACAGTTCCAGCTGGACTTTCACCTAATCAAAGAAATAGCTCAGCAGGAGAAGCTCTCCCTTGAGAAACATACCCCCACCCCGAGCGGGACAGACCAGACCTCTTCATTAAATAACCCCACAGAGCAACCCCAAGCGGAAAGTCAACTTCCCAGCACAGAGTACTACTCCCTCATTGAAATGAAGGATACATTCACCCAGCTGGAGGTAAGGCAGGTGGAGCTGGAACAGCAGGTGAACACACTCCAGTCAGCACAGACCCAGACAACAGTCCAGCACAACAATACCCCCTTAACTAGACCTGGAGAGCTGGAGGTAGAGAGAGACATATCTGCACTCTGGACTGTGGTGAGACAACATCAACAGGAGAAAGAGCAAGAGCAGGAGAAGAACAGAGCACTAGAGGAGAGGATCAGAGTGCTGGAGGAGAAGGTGAGAACGATGACGGGTGACATAGAACAACCCATTAGAGAGCTGGCCACCCCCGCAGAGAAGCCAGCAGAACAGCCCACCTCAGATCCTGGCCAAAGTCTCGACACCGCAGCAGAACAGTACACCCTAGACCCTGACCATAGCCTCGACATTACAGCCAGACAAACAAATGAACAACCCCAAGCCCTGGGGACCCCAACCCCTCTGAGCAACCCCCCAGTCAGACACCCTGATAGCCCTCATGATGACCCCCCCACACCCACAGAGGACATACACAAGCCACAGATTGTACTCCTTATGGACTCAAACGGGAAATACATACAAGAAAATAAACTTTTCCCAGTCTTTATGACCAGGTCCACAAATACAAGGCAGCAGTGCCCACCTTCGCCCGGACCCTAAATGATATTACCCACAACCGCAGACCCAACACCTCACACAGGAGCAACAGATCAACAGACACCCCGCCCAGACCAGCGAGACACTCTCCCAGACCTGCGGGACCCCACCCCCCCCCCCCCCCCCCCCCCCCACCCCCCCAAGTCAACCATGCCCACACCCCATTTAGGCCCCCTCAGATCAGACCTATGCCTGATCAGAACCTGACTCCCTCAGCACACAGGGGGATAAACACCTACCTAGAGGTGACAGCATTCCCTCCCCCATATGCCCCCCTAGGCACAACCAAGACAACATAACCAACAAAAACGGGTCACGACTCCTGCAGCTCTTTCGCACACTGGGTATGTACATAGTCAATGGTAGGCTTTGAGGGGACTCCTATGGTAGATACACCTATAGCTCATCTCTTGGCAGTAGTACTGTAGACTACTTTATCACTGACCTCAACCCAGAGTCTCTCAGAGCGTTCACAGTCAGCCCACTGACACCCCTATCAGACCACAGCAAAATCACAGTCTACTTGAACAGAGCAATACTCAATCATGAGGCATCAAAGCCAAAGGAACTGAATAATATTAAGAAATGCTATAGATGGAAGGAAAGTAGTGTCGAAACCTACCAAAAAACAATTAGGCAACAACAAATTCAATCCATTCTAGACAACTTCCTGGACAAAACGTTCCACTGTAATAGTGAAGGTGTAAACTTGGCAGTAGAAAACATAAAGAGTATATTTGACCTCTCATCTTCCCTATCAAATCTAAAAATCTCTAACAGAAAACCGAAGAAAAGTAACAACAGTGATAAATGGTTTGATGAAGAATGCAAAAATCTAAGAAAGAAATGGAGAAACCTATCCAACCAAAAACATAGACCCAGAAAACCTGAGCCTACGCCTTCACTATGGTGAATCACTAAAACAATACAGAAATACACTACGGAAAAAGAAGGAACAGCATGTCAGAAATCAGCTCAATGTAATTGAAGAATCCATAGACTAACCACTTCTGGGAAAATTGAAAAACACTAAACAAACAACAACACGAAGAGCTATCTATCCAAAACGGAGATGTATGGGTAAACCACTTCTCCAATCTTTTTGGCCCTATAACAGAGAACAAACAGCAAAAAAATATACACGATCAAATGCAAATCTTAGAATCAACTATTAAAGACTACCAGAACCCACTGGATTCTCCAATTACATTGAATGAACTACAGGACAAAATACAAACCCTCCAACCCAAAAAGGCCTGTGGTGTTGATGGTATCCTCAATGAAATGATAAAATATACAGACCACAAATTCCAATTAGCTATACTTAAACTCTTTAACATCATCCTTAGCTCTGGCATCTTCCCCAATATTTGGAACCAAGGACTGATCACCCCAATCCACAAAAGTGGAGACAAATTTGACCCCAATAACTACCGTGGGATATGCGTCAACAGCAACCTTGGGAAAATCCTCTGCATTATCATTAACAGCAGACTAGTTCATTTCCTCAGTGAAAACAATGTACTGAGCAAATGTCAAATTGGCTTTTTACCAAATTACCGTACGACAGACCACGTATTCACCCTGCACACCCTAATTGACAAACAAACAAAACAAAGGCAAAGTCTTCTCATGCTTTGTTGATTTCAAAAAAGCTTTTGACTCAATTTGGCATGAGGGTCTGCTATACAAATTGATGGAAAGTGGGGTTGGGGGAAAAATATACGACATTATAAAATCCATGTACACAAACAACAAGTGCGGTTAAAATTGGCAAAAAACACACACATTTCTTTCCACAGGGCCGTGGGGTGAGACAGGGATGCAGTTTAAGCCCCACCCTCTTCAACATATATATCAACGAATTGGCGAGGGCACTAGAACAGTCTGCAGCACCCGGCCTCACCCTACTAGAATCTGAAGTCAAATGTCTACTGTTTGCTGATGATCTGGTGCTTCTGTCACCAACCAATGAGGGGCTACAGCAGCGCCTAAATCTTCTGCACAGATCCTGTCAGACCTGGGCCCTGACAGTAAATCTCAGTAAGACAAAAATAATGATGTTCCAAAAAAGGTCCAGTTCCCAGGACCACAAATACAAATTCCATCTAGACACCGTTGCCATAGAGCACACAAAAAACTATACATACCTCAGCCTAAACATCAGCGCCACAGGTAACTTCCACAAAGCTGTGAACGATCTGAGAGACAAGGCAAGAAGGGCCTTCTATGCCATCAAAAGGATCATAGAATTCGACATACCAATTAGGATCTGGCTAAAAATACTTGAATCAGTTATAGAACCCATTGCCCTTTATGGTTGTGAGGTCTGGGGTCCGCTCACAAACCAATAATTCACAAAATGGGACAAACACCAAATTGAGACTCTGCATGCAGAATTCTGCAAAAATATCCTCAGTGTACAACGAAAAACACCAAATAATGCATGCAGAGCAGAATTAGGCCGATACCCGCTAATTATCAAAATCCAGAAAAGAGCTGTTAAATTCTATAACCACTTAAAAGGAAGCGATTCCCAAACCTTCCATAACAAAGCCATCACCTACAGAGAGATTAACTTGGAGAAGAGTCCCCCCTAAGTAAGCTGGTCCTGGGGCTCTGTTCACAAACACACCCCACAGAGCCCCAGGACAACAACAACAGAAGTAGACCCAACCAAATCATGAGAAAACAAAAAGAGAATTACTTGACACATCGGAAAGAACAAACAAAAAAACAGCGCAAACTATAATGCTATTTGGCCCTAAACAGAGAGTACACAGTGGCAGAATACCTGACCACTGTGACTGACCCAAACTTAAGGAAAGCTTTGACTATGTACAGACTCAGTGAGCATAGCCTTGCTATTGAGAAAGGCCGCCGTTGGCAGACCTGGCTCTCAAGAGAAGACAGGCTATGTGCACACTGCCCACAAAATGAGGTAGAAACTGAGCTGCACTTCCTAACCTCCTGCCAAATGTATGACCATATTAGAGACACATATTTCCCTCAGATTACAGCGATCCATAAAGAATTCAAAAACAAACCCAATTTTGATAAACTCCCTTATCTACTGGGTGAAAAACCACAGTGTGCCATCACAGCTGCAAGATTTGTGACCTGTTGCCACAAGAAAAGGGCAACCAGTGAAGAACAAACACCATTGTAAATACAACCCATATTTATGTTTATTTATTTTCCCATTTGTACATTGTTACAACACTGTATATATACATAATGACATTTGAAATGTCTTTATTATTTTGGAACTTCTGAGTGTAACGTTTACTGTTAATATTTATTGTTTCTTTCACTTTTGATTACCATCTACTTCACTTGCTTTGGCGATGTTAACATACGTTTCCCATGCCAATAAAGCCCTTAAATTGAAATTGAATTGAGAGTGAGTGAGAGAGAGAGAGAGAGAGAGAGAGAGGAAGAAAAAGAGAGAGAGGGAGAGTGAGAGTAAGAAGGTGGAATGTAGAATGCAGCAGAATAGTGCACCTGGTGGGTAATTCTGTGACTGAGCCTGAAGTTTTGGTTTGGCTGTGATGTGGTCTGCAAACACTGGCTCCCAGAAAGCAGGACTACATTACCACGCCAATAGATAAAAGGATTAAAGCAAAACCAAACAAACAGACCTACAGAGGGAGCATGTGGAAGCACGCAAGAGGGTTTTTAAACTAGGAGTGTGCGAGTGTGTGAAAGTGTGTGTGTGTAACAGAGAGAGACAGCGTGTGGCATGTCTGAGTAGTGCGCACCATTCCCACTTGGGGGTCAAGCTTGGGCTTGAGGCTAGTGGGGCTGTTATCGGAGCTAGCTGTAATGCATTCTCACTGAGATTAATCTTCTCTTCTCCTGGTATCAGCAAGGCTAATCACACTGCTGTAGATAGGTAGGTATCCCGCTCACCTAAATATAGCTACTCACGTCTTCAGGCCATCACACTAATTGAGTCTGAGACTCCTCACATACATTCAGTGGTGAGTGAGTGAGTGAGTGAGTGTGGACACTACAGTGCTCATTTGTCTCTATGTCCATCACTGCAATGGGGATTCTTAATCCCTCCTCTCCCATTGTGTTTCCAGGAAGTGAAGTGGGACAGTCATGCACCATAGGAGCTGATAACTCCAGCAGGAAGTGGAGCAGGGCCAGGTGAACCAGCCCAGGTCACAGACCTACCTCCAGGGGACTACTGGGTATTTTTAAAGATCAGACAGATGTTGACTTCTTACATGCAGACCTTTTTGATAAGTTTTGTTTACTCCATCCTCCTCTATATATAATCTATGTAGAATCTTATCACTCTCTGCCTGCCTGTCTGGATGAGTCTCTGTCCATCTCCCTGTATCGCTCAATCCCTCTCTCCTTTCCTACCTCTTCCCCCCTGTACTCCATATGGTTTGTATCAGAGAGACCACTAGGCTGCCCCCTGGTCTGGTGGTCCCAGATTTCTCACCTCCAGCAGGGCAGAGGCAGGGTCTCCCTGCAGACTCTTGCCTAGCTTGTCCACCTCGTCCAGCAGGAAAACAGGGTTGTTGACTCCCACAGTCTTCAGCCCATTGATAATGCGGCCGGGCATGCTGCCAACGTACGTCCTCCTGTAGACAGGGAGCGAAAGGGCATCATGTTAGACAGAGAGACCAGTACATACAGTGAGGGGAAAAAAGTATTTGATCCCCTGCTGATTTTGTACATTTGCCCACTGACAAATAAATGATCAGTCTATAATTTTAATGGTAGGTTTATTTGAACAGTGAGAGACAGAATAACAACAACAAAATCCAGAAAAACGCATGAGGGAAATAAGTATTTGACCCCCTCTCAATCAGAAACATTTCTGGCTCCCAGGTGTCTTTTATACAGGTAACGAGCAGAGATTAGGAGCACACTCTTAAAGAGAGTGCTCCTAATCTCAGTTTGTTACCTGGATAAAAGACACCTGTCCACAGAAGCAATCAATAAATCAGATTCTAAACTCTCCACCATGGCCAAGACCAAAGAGCTCTCCAAGGATGTCAGGGACAAGATTGTAGACCTACACAAGGCTGGAATGGGCTACAAGACCATCGCCAAGCAGCTTGGTGAGAAGGTGACAACAGTTGGTGCGATTATTCGCAAATGGAAGAAACACAAAATAACTGTCAATCTTCCTCGGCCTGGGGCTCCATGCAAGATCTCACCTCGTGGAGTTGCAATGATCATGAGAACGGTGAGAAATCAGCCCAGAACTACACGGGAGGATCTTGTCAATGATCTCAAGGCAGCTGGGACCATAGTCACCAAGAAAACAATTGGTAACACAGTTTCTATGGGATTAAAGGTCTCCAGACCTTAATCCCATAGAAAATCTGTGGAGGGAGCTGAAGGTTCGAGTTGCCAAACGTCAGGCTCGAAACCTTAATGACTTGGAGAAGATCTGCAAAGAGGAGTGGGACAAAATCCCTCCTGAGATGTGTGCAAACCTGGTGGCCAACTACAAGAAACGTCTGACCTCTGTGATTGCCAACAAGGGTTTTGCCACCAAGTACTAAGTCATGTTTTGCAGAGGGGTCAAATACTTATTTCCCTCATTCAAATGCAAATCAATTTATAACATTTTTGACATGCGTTTTTCTGGATTTTCTTGTTGTTATTCTGTCTCTCACTGTTCAAATAAACCTACCATTAAAATTATAGACTGATAATTTCTTTGTCAGTGGGCAAATGTACAAAATCAGCAGGGGATCAAATACTTTTTTCCCTCACTGTAGAGTACAGAAAATGGGGTGCAGAAAGGAAAGGAGGCAAAAGGAGGAAGAAGAGAGTGTGATAGATAAGGAGCACAGAGAAACAAAAATGCAAGCAAAACAAGAGAGAAAGGTGTGCAGTGAGATAATGATAGGACGGAGAGAGAATCAATGGAAGGGGAAAGATTAAAAACAACGAAGGTAAAAGCCAAAACAGGATGCTTAAACAACGTGCTGGACCATGTATACACAAATATCCTTGATGCGTACAAAGCCATACCCTGCCCCCACTTCAGCCAATCAGATCACGTCTCTCTGTTCCTACTACAAGCAGCAACTCAAGAGGGAGCCACCAACACAGAGAATAGTGAGGCGCTGGACAGAGGCGGCAGACTCAATACTGCAGGACTGTCTTGAGAATCCACCCAGGACTCATCCATCAACATTGAGGAATATAGACTACATGACCAAATGTATGTGGACACCTGCTCGTCGAACATCTCATTCCAAAATCATGGGCATTAATATGGAGTTGGTCCCCCCTTTGCTGCTATAACAGCCTCCACTCTTCTGGGAAGGCTTTCCACTAGATGTTGGAACATTGCTGCGGGGACTTGCTTCCATTCAGCCTCAACAGCATTAGTGAGGTCGGGCACTGATGTTGGGCGATTAGGCCTGGCTCGCAGTCGGCGTTTCAATTCATCCCAAAGGTGTTCGATGGGGTTGAGGTAGTGGCTCTGTGTAGGTCAGTCAAGTTCTTCCACACAGATCTCGACAAACCATTTCTGTACGGACCTCGCTTTGTGCACGGGGGCATTGTTATGCTGAAACAGTAAAGGGCCTTCCCCAAACTGTTGCCACAAAGTTGGATGCACAGACTCGCCAAGGCCCTGTGTAGCTCAGTTGGTAGAGCATGGCGCTTGCAAAGCCAGGGTTGTGGGTTCGATTCCCACGGGGGGCCAGTATGAAGAAAAAAAAAATGCACTCACTAACTGTAAGTCGCTCTGGATAAGAGCGTCTGCTAAATGACTAAAATGTAAATGTAATGTCATTGTATGCTGTAGCGTTAAGATTTCCCTTCACTGGAACTAAGGGGCCTAGCCCGAACCATGAAAAACAGCCCCGGACCATTATTCCTCCTCCACCAAACTTTACAGTTGGCACTATGCATTGGGGCAGGTAGCATTCTCCTAGCATCCGCCAAACCCAGATTCGTCCGTCGGACTGCCAGTTAGTGAAGCGTGATTCATCACTCCAGAGAACGCGTTTCCACTGCTCCAGAGTCCAATGGCGGCGAGCTTTACACCACCCCAGCCGACACTTGGCATTGCGCATGGTGATGTTAGGCTTGTGTGTGGCTGCTCGGCCATGAAGCTCCTGACGAACAGTTATTGTGCTGACGTTGCTTCCAGAGGCAGTTTGTAACTCGGTAGTGAATGTTGCAACCGAGGACAGACGATTTTTACACACTACGCGCTTCAGCACATTGACTCTGCACCGGTACTCGTTATTTTTATTTATTGTGTTACTATTTTCTATTTTTATTTGCACATTTTCTTACTTTTTAACTCTGCATTGTTGGGAAAGGGCTCGTAAGTAAGGATTTCACGGTCTACACCTGTTGTATTCGCCATATGTGACAAATAAAATTTGATTTACACTAACACTACAGCACACAAACACTAGGTAAGACTGAACCAGCATGAACCTAACTCACATCCCGGCCCCACACTTATTAGGGTAAACACACGCGCTATCTACACTTGAAACCACATCAAAACACACAACAGGCAGCTTCCTAAACTGCAGTGGTGGGTTGTTTGGTGTGGTGTCACAATTGATGCATGAGACTGGAGGCTGGGGGCTATGGATAAACTCAGAGACACAGGAAGGACCTGCCCGGACCTGAAGGCTGAGATGTCATTGTCCCGCCGAGTCTCCATAGTGACAGGCGAACAAAGCAACATGAAAGATTACATCATGCTTCCACTCCTAGTTTTCCCTCTCATGTTTACTCACATTGCAAAGGGCTGTATACACCGAGTGAACAAAACATTAGGAACACATGCTCGTTCCATGACAGACTGACCAGGTGAATCCAGGTGAAAGCTTTGATCCCTCATTGATGTCACTTGTTAAATTCACTTAAATCAGTGTAGATGAAGGGGAGGAGACAGGTTAAAGAAGGATTTTTAAGCCTCAAGACAATTGAGACATGGATTGTGTATGTGTGCCATTCAGAGGATGAATGGGAAAGACAAAAGATTTAAGTGCCTTTAAATGGGGTATGGTAGTAGGTGCCAGGCGCACCCGTTTGAGCGTGTCAAGAACTGCAACGCTGCTGGGTTTTTCACGCTCAACAGTTTTCCGTGTTTATCAAGAATGGTCCACCACCCAAAGGACATCCAGCCAACTTGACACAACTGTGGGAAGCATGTGTCAACATGGGCCAGCATCCTTGTGGAATGCTTTCGACACCTTGTAGAGTCCATGCCCCGACGAATTGAGGCTGTTCTGAGGGAAAAGGGAGGTGCAACTCAATATGAGGAAGATGTTCCTAATGTTCTGTACACTCAGTGTATATGTATTGTCTGTACAGACCGCACTTTTCTACCTGAACCTTTTATATCTACTATTGTTGACCCACATCTGTCTCCACCTATCAACCATGACCACTGGTGAGTTACAGAAAAGGCCTAACTCATGTTGAACTACTTTTACCATGAGATGTGCTGCACTCTGACTTCTGGCCAGACAATGTCGGTACCTTCGTTGTTATAATATATGTGGACTTACCCTCCCCACTCTCTTAAGACAGAATATAATGTATGTCTATAGGGGTTTCATTTCCTGTGCAGAATACAATTTACAGACACAGCTGCCTGCCTGCCCACCCATTCATCCCCACCTCCATCCTCTGCCCTCTCCAGTGTACCTATGCCCGCGGATGTCAGACTGGTCACACACCCCTCCGAGGGCGATGCGGTGGAACTCCCTGCCCAGGGTACGGGCGATGGAGCGCCCCACACTGGTCTTGCCCACCCCAGGTGGCCCCACGAAGCACAGGATGGGCCCCTTGAGGGTGCTCTTCAGCTGCCTCACAGCCAGGTACTCCAGCACTCTCCTCTTCAGCTTCTCCATGGCATAGTGGTCGTTGTCCAACAGCACCCGTGCAGCGTGGATATCAAGACAGTCTGCAGAGACCGTGAGGAGCAGGGTTTAATTCCAACACCGTGAATATTCTCAAAGACCTCATCTAATGTCAACCAAGTGATTCTAATAACCATTCATCTAGATTGTAATAAAACATTTTGTTTTATGTAGCTACATGACTAAGCAGAAGTATGGTATGGACTCGTAATGCTGAATCATATAAACAAATGTCCTCAATACTCTCAGACATGTGTCTAATGACTGGCTCCCTCTGCTGGTTCTGATTAGTATAGAGGACAACGCAACTAGTGGCAAAATATGATATTGAGCTCCCTCCAGTGGTAGAAGCCTTTTGTTCCATTTTAAATAGAGAAAGAGTTCCAAAGAGAGCTGTGGTGATGACTCCCTCCTGGTACTCTTTGCTTACTACCCCTTGTCCCGATTTTCAAGGTATAATGTGCATATGGTGTGCTCTGTATGTATGGATATATACATTTATACATTTAATTAATGAAGTGTAAATTAATTAATTAATTAACCTGAGATTGTAGTGGTGTCATGGTGGTGTACTGTGCATACCTGTGGTACTTTTGCTCCAGGGCAATTCCACCATAAGATCCAGGTAGTTTCGGGTGAGAGCGTACTCTGGCATAGACTGGGGCATCTTCTTCAATCTGTGTAGATTATCATACAGTGCCTTCAGAAAGTATTCACACCCCTTGACTTTTTCTAGATTTGGTTGTGTTACAGCCTGAATTTAAAATGGATTAAATTGAGATTGTGTCACTAGCCTACACACACATTACCCCATAATGTCAAAGTGGAAATATGTTTTTAGAAATGTTTACAAATTAATAAAAAAATTAAAAGCTGAAAAGTCTTGAGTCAATAAGTATTCAACCCCTTTTGTTATGACAAGCCTAAATAAGTTCAGGAGTAAATATGTGCTTAACAAGTCACATAATAAGTTGCATGAACTCAGTGTGTGCAATGATAGTGTTTAACATGATTTTTGAATGACTACCTCATCTCTGTAGCCCACATACACAATTATCTGTAAACTCCCTCAGTCAAGCAGTACATTTCAAAAACAGATTCAACCACAAAGACCAGAAGGGCACCTATTGGTAGACATTGAATATCCCTTTGAGCATGTTGAAGTTATTAATTACGCTTTGGATGGTGTATCAATACACCCAGTCACTACAAAGACACAGGTGTCCTTCCTAACTCAGTTGCCGGAGAGGAATTTCACCATGAGGCCAATGGTGACTTTAAAACAGTTACAGAGTTTAATGGCTGTGATAGGAGAAAACTGAGGATGGGATCAACAACATTCTAGTTACTCCACAATACTAACCTAAATGACAGAGTAAAAAGAAGGATGCCTGTGCAGAATAAAAATACTCCAAAACATGCATCCTGTTTGCAATAAGGCACTAAAGTACAACTGCAACAAATGTGGCAAAGAAATGAACTGTCCTGAATACAAAGCATTATGTTTGGGGCAAATTCAACACAACACAGTTTTTTTAGAATAAAAAGAAACCGAATTCAGCTAAGCACAGGCAAAATCCTAGAGGAAAAACTGGTTCAGTCTGCTTTCCAACAGACACTGGGAGACAAATTCACCTTTCAGTAGGACAATAACTTAAAACACATGCCAAATATACACTGGAGTTGCTTACCAAGATGACTGAGTGTACATAACATTACAACTTTTTTACAATCCAGGTGTGCAAAGCTCTTAGAGAGACTTACCCAGAAAGACTCACAGCTGTAATTGCTGTCAAATGTGATTCTAACACGTATTGATTCAGGGGGTTGAATACTTATTTAAATTAGATATTTCTGTATTTTGTTTTCTAAAAATTTGCTAAAATTTCTAAAAACATGTTTTCACTTTGTCATTATGGTGTATTGTGGGGTAGATGGGTGAGAAGAAAAAAAACTATTTAATCCATTTTGTATTCAGGCTGTAACACAACAAAATGTGGAATAAGTCAAGGGGTATGAATACTTTCTGAAGGCATTGTGTCTTGTGTCAATGCCACTACTATGGAAATATACACACATACACACTGCAAGTGTTCCCACAATACCAGGAAGTCTGAATACATTGAAATGGAAGGTAAACAAACTGTGGGTACCTTTTGAGCTCTTTGAGACACACACGCAAGGCAGGCTCTGGCATGTTCGCTCCTTTAACCTTCCTCTCCAGGACAGCAGTATCATCACCATCCTCATCATCACCCTCTTCATCCAAGGAGAACTGACGACCAGGAAGCACACCGCCTTTCCGTACAGCCAGCACCTGAGAGATAGGGGAGGGAAGAGTGCCAAGCATGAGACATACTGTATAATCTCTGCATTTCAATTCTAAGCAGGCACTGCCTCTGATCTTTTAGCATGCCCACAAGTGTGACACTTTTTCCTAGAAGAAATGCTAACAGTTGAGTAGTCTTTAGCATTCAAGCGTCAGCATGCTTCTGTTCGGCTGGCCGAATAGCCAAATGAGTGTGCTCGCATAGTCCCGTAAAATACTTTCGCTTGAAAAACTAGAAAAAAGTGTCAATAGTACTGTTTGTCCATTTTGAGATGCCGTAGCCAGTATACACTTCCTCGAACTAGTCAGAATTAATCTAAGATAACTCAAGAAATCTCTTTAATTTTGACGTTTTTGCCGAGGAGATCTTAGTCTAACTAAGATGTTTGGTGCAGTATTTCTCAATTAAAAAATGTGCATGAAAACGAGTTGTCTCTCGTTGAATGACAACAAAGACTTTATTAAAGAATCCCATACAGTTGACCAATCACGGACGAAGGGGCGTAGACTTTGTCTCCCGAACTTCGGCTGGCCTTCGAGAAATAGTTTGTGTGCCCGAAAAGCCGGAAAAACCCTTACTGAAGTATGCGGACTCCTTTACCCTTTTGTCATCGTCTGGTCTTGGTTTTCTGGTCTTCTGCAGCAGTTTGAGACCCTCAATCTGTCTGGTCAGCAGGGGGAGAGTCTTCTTAAAACGTTCCTCCAGACTCACTGCATCCAGAACCTGCATGTCCACATACATATACACTTACAGTGATATCAAAGCAGAAAGACACGCATATAGCTGATACATTCATGCCCTTATACAGGGAAGTCAATCAAAAATAATTGACATTTCTAAAAACTACACATGGTACATCAATGAACAAGCACCCACAGACACATAAACACATTGCTCTACCTGGAGCTTCTCTTTGTTGGAGGTACGAATCATAGAAACCAGGACATCAGGCAGGGTCTCTCTGGGGAGACTGTCCAAGAGCCTTCTCAGCTTGGCCACCACAGGAACAGACATGTCCAACATGCCTACCAACTAACACAGACACATAGAGAGGAAAGACAACAGTGAAGAAACGGTACACAGGGGACAGATATGAAACATGGACAGGGGTGGAGAGATAAGGGATCAAAGTCTCTGTGTACACCAGGCAGTAAATCTGTCTACGTAAACATACAGTGCTATGAAAAAGTATTTTTTCTCTATTTTTGCATATTTGTGATACTGAATGTTATCAGATCTTCAAAACCTAGTATTAGATAAAGGGAACATAAGTGAATAAGTGAATAACACAACAATTACATATTTAGTTCATAAACAAAGTTATGCAACACCCAATTCCCCTGTGTGAAAAAGCAATTGCCCCCTTACTCTCAATAACTGGTTGTGCCACCTGGCGAAAACCAAACTCTGCATTCCACAGTAAGAACATCCTACCAAAGGTCAAGCATGGTGGTGGTGGTGTGATGGTTTGGGGATGCTTTGCTGCCTCAGGACCTGGACGACTTGCCTTAATAGAAGGAACCATGAATTCTGCTCTGTATCAGAGAATTCTACAGGAGAATGTCAGACCATCCGTCTGTGAGCTGAAGCTGAAGCGCAGCTGGGTCATGCAGCAAGACAATGATCCAAAACACACAATCAAGTCTACATGAAGCTAAAAAGCAACAAATTGGAAGTTTTGGAATGGCCTAGGCAAAGTCCAGACCTAATCCCAATTGAGATGTTGTGGCAGGATTTGAAACAAGCAGTTCATGCTTGAAAACCCACACGTCACTCAGTTAAAGCAGCTCTGCATGGAAGAGTGGGCCAAAATTCCTCCAATTCCTACAGGAAGCATTTGGTTGGAGTCATTGCAGCTAAAGGTGGCACAACCAGTTATTGAGTGTAAGGGGGCAATTACTTTTTCACACAGGGGAATTGGGTGTTGCATAACTTTGTTTATGAAATAAATATGTAATTGTTGTGTTATTTGTCCACTTATGTTCCCTTTATCTAATATTAGGTTTTGGTTGAAGATCTGATAACATTCAGTATCACAAATATGCAAAAGTAGAGAAAATTAGAAAGGGGGCAAATACTTTTTCATAGCACTGTATACCATGACATACATTACATTGGTGGATAATATTCCGTACAGTTACAGAAGAGTAGCCAAGCCTATTACCCACATTGAAGGAATCCTCATTTGCTATGCTAAAATAACATAAAGCCATAGCTTCTGGTCCTGTGTGGCTCAGAGTGTGGTGCTAACAACACCAGAACTGTGGGTTCGAGTCCCGCTGGGGTCACATACTAAAATACATGCATTCACGGTTACTGTACTATTAGTGGCTTTGGATAAAATCATCTGCTAAATGGTATATTATTCTAATATGACACACTTATACTGTAGATTCTATTAGTGAAAGTCAGGGATGCTGCTGTCACACCCACCTGCACAGCGGCCTGGTAGAACCTCTGGGACAGCTCCCCCAACTCTCCCTCTGGCCCGGCTGCCTCAGATATCTCCTTGGGGCTGGTGTACTGCTCCAGCTTATCCAGCTGCTCTACCTCAGCCATGGGGAAGGGCCCCTCCTTCAGCAGTTGGGCCACACGGAAGCGACACAGCCCTGTGATGAGTAGCGTGTAGTGGGGCTTGGGCCAATTACTGCCCACTACCTGCACCGCCAGCCCCGCCGTGCCAATACTGATAATTACAGAATGGAATGAAGCGAGGAAAAACAATCGTTCCTCCCAAATGACATCCTATAGTGCACTACTGTTGACCAGGGCACATAGGGCTCTGGTCAAAATTAAATTAGTGCACTACAGTGAGGGAAAAAAGTATTTGATCCCCTGCTGATTTTGAACGTTTGCCCACTGACAAAGACATGATCAGTCTATAATTTTAATGGTAGGTTTATTTGAACAGTGAGAGACAGAATAACAACAAGAAAATCCAGAAAAACGCATGTCAGAAATGTTATAAATTGATTTGCATTTTAATGAGGGAAATAAGTATTTGACCCCTCTGCAAAACATAACTTAGTACTTGGTGGCAAAACCCTTGTTGGCAATCACAGAGGTCAGACGTTTCTTGTAGTTGGCCACCAGGTTTGCACACATCTCAGGAGGGATTTTGTCCCACTCCTCTTTGCAGATCTTCTCCAAGTCATTTAAGGTTTCGAGGCTGACGTTTGGCAACTTGAACATTCAGCTAACTCCACAGATTTTCTATGGGATTAAGGTCTGGAGACTGGCTAGGCCACTCCAGGACCTTAATGTGCTTCTTCATGAGCCACTCCTTTGTTGCCTTGGCCATGTGTTTTGGGTCATTGTCATGCTGGAATACCCATCCACGACCCATTTTCAATGCCCTGGCTGAGGGAAAGAGGTTCTCACCCAAGATTTGACGGTACATGGCCCTGTCCATCATCCCTTTGATGCGGTGAAGTTGTCCTATCACCTTAGCAGAAAAACACCCCCAAAGCATAATGTTTCCACCTCCATGTTTGATGGTGGGGATGGTGTTCTTGGGGTCATAGGCAACATTCCTCCTCCTCCAAACACGGCGAGTTGAGTTGATGCCAAAGAGCTCCATTTTGGTCTCATCTGACCACAACACTTTCACCCAGTTCTCCTCTGAATCATTCAGATGTTCATTGGCAAACTTCAGACGGGCCTGTATATGTGCTTTCTTGAGCAGGGGGACCTTGCGGGCGCTGCAGGATGTCAGTCCTTCACGGCGTAGTGTGTTACCAATTGTTTTCTTGGTGACTATGGTCCCAGCTGCCTTGAGATCATTGACAAGATCCTCCCATGTAGTTCTGGGCTGATTCCTCACCGTTCTCATGATAATAATAATAATAATAATAATAATAATATGCCATTTAGCAGACGCTTTTATCCAAAGCGACTTACAGTCGTGCGTGCATACATTTTTTTTTGTGTATGGGTGGTCCCGGGAATCGAACCCACTACCTTGGCGTTACAAGCGCCGTGCTCTACCAGCTGAGCTACAGAGGACCATGATCATTGCAACTCCACGAGGTGAGATCTTGCATGGAGCCCCAGGCCAAGGGAGATTGACAGTTATTTTGTGTTTCTTCCATTTGCGAATAATCACACCAACTGTTGTCACCTTCTCACCAAGCTGCTTGGCGATGGTCTTGTAGCCCATTCCAGCCTTGTGTAGGTCTACAATCTTGTCCCTGACATCCTTGTTCGAGCTCTTTGGTCTTGGCCATGGTAGAGAGTTTGGAATCTGATTGATTGATTGCTTCTGTGGACAGGTGTCTTTTATACAGGTAACAAGCTGAGATTAGGAGCACTCCCTTTAAGAGTGTGCTCCTAATCTCAGCTCGTTACCTGTATAAAAGACACCTGGGAGCCAGAAATCTTTCTGATTGAGAGGGGGTCAAATACTTATTTCCCTCATTAAAATGCAAATCACTTTATAACATTTTGGACATGCGTTATTCTGGATTTTTGTATTGTTATTCTGTCTCTCACTGTTCAAATAAACCTACCATTAAAATGATAGACTGATCATTTCTTTGTCAGTGGGCAAACATACAAAATCAGCAGGGGATCAAATACTTTTTTCCCCTCACTGCATGTAGGGAATAGGGTGCCACTTGAGTTGCGGTCTCTGACCATAACATCTACAACACAGCTAGTGTACAGACAGTCAAAGCCAAAAGAGGAAGATATATGAAGAATGTTGTACCAGAGAAAATTGGGAATTATCAACATGATTTAACATTGGTGTCCTACTTCAGTTGTTGCAGTTATTAAAGCATAGAGGGACACATATTGCTACTTAGTAACCAGTAAACTAACACGGTTGTATCCTGCTAAATGCAAGGTTAAAGTCCATCTGAAGTTCAAACGACCTTTCTAGAACAACTTACAGGAGAGAGCATAGGAAAAAGTTTAAATTCCAATGTGAAAAATGTAAAGCATGATTTAGCTACCAAGTTAGTCCTATTTTCAAGAATCAAATAAATGTATTCTTAATAAGAAATAATATAACATACCTTACTGATAGCACCACCATCGTAAACATTTTGAAACATTCAAATAACATCACACTGCTATAATAGGCAGGACATGGCATAGTTTCCATTGAGTGAAGTTCAAGTACACTAGCTAGCTTTTCTCAATGTGACATTTAACTGACAGTGGTTGTTGTACAGCTAGCTAACTTAGTTACGTCATAGCTATACTACCACTTGACTACAACAGGTAACTGTTAGGTCTGCACAAAGACTGTTTGAGATGGCATGTAAAAAAGCAGAATTAGCTAACTACAGTTACCTACCTATGCAAAGGGGGGAGATCTTCAGTATCGTGTTCTGGATCTCGGGTGTTGGGGATCACCCCGATGATGGTGCTCTTCAGCGAGGTCCCCTTCAGCAGTCTGTTCTTCACCAGATGCATGTTCCTCGCCGTTTCAACACTGATCCGCATCGTCGAACCCGGTAAAAGCACCCCTTCATGGGTCAACAGCAGAGGCAGTCGACTTGGGATTTGGATACCGCTGTTGGAAGACATTATTTGAAGTTTTCCTACCTACCTAGCTTCAGGTCAATATGGACAAAATGTACTGTACTACTATCTACATCAGGTGACAGGCTAGAACGAATGACAAAACATTGCAAACTACGGCGTGCAGTAGGGGACAAACGCCCTCTGCTGGTCAAATGCATTGACATATAAACGCAACGCTCAGTGGAGTTTTCCGATGAAAATGTTTCAAAATTTATCCAGTTTTGTTTCTTAACCCTCCCGTTGTCCTAGGGTCAAAATGACCCGCCACTGTGTTGAACCAACTTTATTTAATTTTTATATTTTTTGGATCATTTGTGAGAAGGAGGCAGTGATACTTTCTTTAAAGTCTCACTGCCTCCTTCTCACAAATGATCCCAAAAATAAATAAAAAAAATAAAGTTGGTTCAACACAGTGGCGGGTCATTTTGACCCTAGGACAACGGGAGGGTTAAAGACAGAGGGTGTTCGTAAATTCACAGTGGAGTGCCAGAATGCGCTCTGGGCGTTCTTAAATTCAGAGTATTGTCAGATTGACTGTTAGCAAATTCAGAGCGTATCGCTCTCGGAGCGCACACTGGACGCTCTGGCCGAGGAGTTTTTTTTTATTTTATTTTTTTATTTTGGATTATTACGTTTCAAATTACAATACAAAAAAATAAATACATAGGACATCACTACACGTATATTTTATCTGAAGAAACAAAATAACACTCAAGTTAAAAAAATGTAATCACTACACATGAATTGAGCATGTTGAGGAGACTAAACTGTTTGGAGTAACCCTGGATTGTAAACTGTCATGGTCAAAACATCTTGATAGAACAGTAGCTAAAATGGGGAGAAGTCTGTCCATAATAAAGCGCTGCTCTACCTTCTTAACAGCATTGTCAACAAGGCAGGTCCTACACGCTCTAGTTTTGTCGCACTTGGACTATTGTTCAGTCGTGTCTCAGAACAGGGCAGCACGGCTGGCCCTTGGATGTACACAGAGAGCTAACACTAATAATATGCATGTCAATCTCTCCTGGCTCAAAGTGGAGACTTCATCACTACTTGTATTTGTGAGAGGTATTGACATGTTGAAAGAACCGAGCTCTCTGTTTAAACGACTAGCACACAGCTCAGATTTGACTAAATATTGGATTGCAAGTTGAAAATATATTGCATTTGGGGACAGATTTCAAATATTTGTTTTTGTGTATATAAAATTTACCAGACAGAATGAAGACATGAACGACTAATTCAGTAGTTTTGTTTTCATTTGAATAATAACATATTACATCTTTCATTGTAAATATATGGGTCTTATTAATTCAATTTAAAATGTAAATAATTAACTCGCTCCAAAATAACTTCAAAGAGTCACACTCATAAAATTTTTTTATAATTGTTTCACCTTCTTCATCACAGAAAATAATTTTGACAAGTTATTGGAGGATATATTTTGTGCAAGATTTTAAAGTGAATTTCTTTTACTTTATTTGATAAACAAAAGCTTATACAAGCTTTCTTCCAGTCAATTTCAGTAATATATGCGTTCCAGAAGAATTCCCCTCATTTCTCATCCAGCAGGTGGCAGCCTTCTAACATAAGTTGTGCATCTATTTTGTTCTCCAAAACACAAATTAGATTTAATTAATTGAGTAAGTCCTGAAGGTATTGTTTTGCATATAAAATTAAATTATTTATAATGTATTGGGAAGTTATGTTTCTAATAACTTTCTATATAAGACTATAGTCTTATATACTACAGTCTAAAGTATTCTCTCTGGTATGCAATCTGGTTTCTGCTCAGGTTATGGATGTGTCTCTGCAACCTTAAAGATCCTAAATGATGTCACCATTGCCCTTGATTCTAAGCAATGTTGTGCTGCCATTTTTATTGACTTTGCCAAGGCTTTTGATACGGTAGACCATTCCATGATTGTGGGCCGGCTAAGGAGTATTGGTGTCTCTGAGGGGTCTTTGGCCTGGTTTGCTAACTACCTCTCTCAAAGAGTGCATTGTAAAAAGTCAGAACATCTGCTGTTTTAGCCACTGCCTGTCACCAAGGGAATACCCCAACGCTCGATTCTAGGCCCCACGCCCTTCTCAATTTACATCAACAACATAGCTCAGGCAGTAGGAAGCTCTCTCATCCATTTATATGCAGATGATACAGTCTTATAATCAGCTGGCCCCTCCCCGCGTTTTGTGTTAAATGCTCTACAACAAAGCTTTCGTAGTGTCCAACAAGCTTTCTCTGCCCTTAACCTTGTTCTGAACACCACCAAAACAAAGGTAATGTGGTTTGGCAAGAAGAATGCCCCTCTCCCCACCGATGTGATTACTACCTCTGAGGGTTTAGAGCTTGAGCATACAAGTACTTGAGAGTATGGCTAGACGGTACACTGTCCTTCTCTCAGCACATATCAAAGCTGCAGGCTAAGGTTAAATCTAGACTTGGTTTCTCCTATCGTAATCGCTCCTCTTTCACCCCAGCTGCCAAACTAACCCTGATTCAGATGACCATCCTACCCATGCTAGATTATGGAGACGTAATTTACAGATCGGCAGGTAAGGGTGCTCTCGAGCGGCTAGATGTTCTTTACCATTCGGCCATCAGATTTGCCACCAATGCTCCTTATAGGACACATCACTGCACTCTATACTCCTCTGTAAACTGGTCATCTCTGTATACCCGTCGAAAGACCCACTGGTTGAAGCTTGTTTATAAAACCCTCTTATGCCTCACTCCCCACTATCTGAGATACCTACTGCAGCCCTCATCCTCCACATACAACACCCGTTCTGCCAGTCACATTCTGTTAAAGGTCCTCAAAGCACACACATCCACGGGTCGCTCCTCTTTTCAGTTCGTGGCAGCTAGCGACTGGAACAAGCTGCAAAAAACACTCAAACTGGACAGTTTTATCTCCATCTCTTCATTCAAATACTCAATCTTACTGACAGTTGTGGCTGCTTCCCGTGATGTATTGTTGTCTCTACCTTCTTGCCCTTTGTGCTGTTGTCTGAGCCCAATAATGTTTGTACCATGTTTTGTGCTGCTACCATGTTGTGCTGCTACCATGTTGTGTTGCTACCATGCTGTGTTGTCATGTGTTGCTGCCATGCTAGGTGGTTGTCTTAGGTCTCTTTGTGTAGTGTTGTGGTGTCTCTCTTGTCATGATGTGTGTTTTGTCCTATATTTTATTTTATTTTTTTATTGATTTTTAATCCCAGCCCCCGTCACCGCAGGTGGCCTTTTGCCTTTTGGTAGGCCGTCATTGTAAATAAAAATGTGTTCTTAACTGACTTGCCTAGGTAAATAAAGGTTCAATAAAAATAAATAAAAAGACGAGTAAGGTTGATCCGAGCGTTCTGACCTCACAACGGCAGTCACACACCCAAGTCGCTAGCTACTTCCAGACAAATGAGAGAACACTTCACTCTGAACACTTTACTCGCCCTAGCAGAGCTGGTTAGGCTGTTTTCATGTTATCTAGAGCTTTGGTGACTGTAGCTGTGCTGCTGCCTGGCAACAATGTAATAAAACATTTTTTATGACGTTTACTGACGCCGTCATATTCAACCGGTGTTGCGCGTTCGTAAATTCGTCAGTTATTCTGCACTCTGGCACTTTCAGACGAGAGTGCTCTGAAATCGGAGTAGATAGCCAGAGGGAATTTACAAACGCACTCAGTAAGTCTCATTTATGTTGTTTGTGATTATGAAATAAACTGTGGGGAGACAAAACAAACCCAGGGAAGACATTCATGTAAACAACCCAGGCAAGATGTCATAACGTGCTTTATCGGAGAGTTATCAAGTGACAGCTGGGTCAGCCACACATAGATCAGTCAGTATCAGACAGCTGGTGTTCTCGTTTGCTTGTAGCCTACAACAAGCATCTAGGCTACTCTACTGCATTATAACAGTTACCATTTACAAGTAGAGTCAGCTATGAACGTTACAGCAGTAAAATGTAATTCTAATTTAAATTCAACAATATAATCTGCCTACTGTGGTGCAATGATATGGCCGTTATCTGCTTGATCTCTTGCAGTGCAAACATTTGCCTGGAAAAGTCTACCCTGAGCAGTGATGTAAAGTACTTAAGTAAAAATATTTTAAATTAGTACCTACTTAGTTTTTTTTGGGGTATCTGTACTTCACTATTTATATTTTTTGACAACTTCACTTTTAGGCCTACTTCATTACATTCCTAGAAAAAAATAATGGACAGTGAGGGAAAAAAGTATTTGATCCCCTGCTGATTTTGTACGCTTGCCAACTGACAAAGACATGATCAGTCTATAATTTTAATGGTAGGTTTATCTGAACAGTGAGAGACAGAATAACAACAAAATCCAGAAAAACACATGTACAATTTTTTATAAATTGATTTGCATTTTAATGAGGGAAATAAGTATTCCCTCTGCAAAACATGACTTAGTACTTGGTGGCAAAACCCTTGTTGGCAATCACAGAGGTCAGACGTTTCTTGTAGTTGGCCACCAGGTTTGCACACATCTCAGGAGGGATTTTGTTCCACTCCTCTTTGCAGATCTTCTCCAAGTCATTAAGGTTTTGAGGCTGACGTTTGGCAACTCGAACCTTCAGCTCCCTCCACAGATTTTCTATGGGATTAAGGTCTGGAGACTGGCTAGGCCACTCCAGGACCTTAATGTGCTTCTTCTTGAGCCACTCCTTTGTTGCCTTGGCCGTGTGTTTTGGGTCATTGTCATGCTGGAATACCCATCCACGACCCATTTTCAATGCCCTGGCTAAGGGAAGGAGGTTCTCACCCAAGATTTGACGGTACATTGCCCCGTCCATCGTCCCTTTGATGCGGTGAAGTTGTCCTGTCCCCTTAGCAGAAAAACACCCCCAAAGCATAATGTTTCCACCTCCATGTTTGACGGTGGGGATGGTGTTCTTGGGGTCATAGGCAGCATTCCTCCTCCTCCAAACACGGCGAGTTGAGTTGATGCCAAAGAGCTTGATTTTGGTCTCCTCTGAATCATTCAGATGTTCATTGGCAAACTTCAGATGGGCCTGTATATGTGCTTTCTTGAGCAGGGGGACCTTGCGGGCGCTGCAGGATTTCAGTCCTTCACGGCGTAGTGTGTTACCAATTGTTTTCTTGGTGACTATGCTCCCAGCTGCCTTGAGATCATTGACAAGATCCTCCCG